ACAGGAACAGACACTTGGTGGTCTACATAAGATAACGGGATCTTTGAGTATTCTTTTTTATAATATGGATAAATAAATAAAGGATAGATACGCTGAGAAAATAACTACGAAAATAAAATAATTTAGCTTCAATACTGTTTCATAGTTTTTGAAGTATGAACGTATATAAAGTAATGAGATTCGATACAATATAGTTTTACGATCGAACAATTTTGTTGAATTACAAACCGTACGAAAAAATCCATACTAAAGAAGATTTAAAATTTTCTACATTAAACCGGTTGGCGAATGCTACGTGCTTTAAGAATTTTGTGTTAAACCTAGTATCATTCGAATTATCTATAAAATACTGTCGGATTTTCTTTATTATTATAGAAAGAGAGACAAAAGGAACAGGTGGTCCACATAAGATCACGAGTTATTGTTTTATAATATGGATATCGAAATGAAAAAAAATTATAGCTTCAATTTTTTTACGTAATTTTCTCAAATTGAGATATATTAAAAAATAAGTTAAAATTAATTTTCCATCCATCTCCTAACATATATAAAAATGGTCGCCCTATTATTTTTGAGTATTAAAAAAAAAATTATTAACAGGGCAAACAAGCTTACTATGGCAACACTATGATATGTGAGACTCGACGCGATACAGCCGCCTGCGTAAATTTTATAGGCCCATCTTCCAGAATTTTTATTGTAAACAATAGTGGCGCTGTAAAAGTGGAGTTTCGGCGAAATAACGAAGGCAGGGTAACGATCGTAAAATTTGTGTCGTAAAGGTTGTCACCGATTTGCCTACACGGTTATGGTCGTCCCGAGCCACTGATGCACTTAAAATTTTGATGGAGTCATACATATGTATACCTGCAAATACTTTGTCATACTAACTGTTTTCTCGCGAGTTTCCCAGCATAAGTTTTAACTTATTTCACCCTCGTAAGATGTAGCTTTCCATAGGTGAAAGAAAGATGGCATAGGTTATAATTTTCGCAGGAGACGACGCCAAAAATAAAAATAGCTAAATAGAAAGCACTCTTCGCTCAATCAGCGAAAGATACGTGTTGGTATTCGGTCTAGAGATGTGTAAATTTTATAAGTATGATACGAATTTTTCATAAGTTTAAATTTGATTGTTCCTTTTAGTTTAATATTTCTGTTTTCGTATTTGTTTACTCATAAGTCACGCTTTTTCATTTGCATTATGTTACATAGATTTAGAACCCGTATTATTTTTTTAAAACTACAACATTGTGTAAAGATTTAATTTAAATCTATTGAATTTTCATCGACATTCAAATATGGTTTGCCGCCGAGGTTCCTGTTTCGTTTTAGCAGAGCGACTTCCTAACCCTTCTAGCTATAACCCTTAGTATATGGAACGACATCTTAGCGATGTTATGGCGATTTTTGGTTTAATTTGACTACCTTTATAGGTATGTCTTTAATAACAACGAACTAATGATAAAGAATGATTTGACAATAATTTTTTCAACTTTGTCGTTTATCCATCGAATGACCCATAAAATACAATATGTGAGATTAGTAAAATTAACCGAAATATAGCTATAATATTCGTTAAGATGTTGTTTTCTATGGCTATAGTTATAAATAGAGAGTTAGGCGGGCGCACCCACAGAACATTTTCTGTTCGGTGGTCGCTGGTTCTGTGGTCGTTCGGTGGTTCTGAAGATTATCTGTGCCGTGTGCAGTGTCGGGCCCTACCGCCGTTGCACCTAAAACGGTTTCTTTAGAGTCTAATTAGCGATACAAATACAGACGGAATTTCGTTTTGCGAGAGAGTAGTCCTTCAGATTTTACCTACACAATACACAATATATAAAACAAGTACGATATGTTAATTTGTAGAAATATCATGAATAGTACAAATCACAATATAGAATTATAAAAACATTACAATGTATTGTCCGTAACACGTATGCATAATGAAGTGGCGCACGCTCGATTGCATAGTACTAAGTACACAGAGGTTTAATAGCGGCCGTTAACAAGTTGGTAATAAGTCCATTGTGCCGCAGTTATTTACGCCGGCGGCGGGTGGCGGCGGCATAACTCAGCCGGGCGGCGCGGCAGCGATCGATGCCGCCAATGTGCCGACTAATGGACCGAAAACGTCCACCTGAATCTGGCCGGTCCGACACGAAATGGCCCCAATTGTCGCTAGTATCTAACCCAGCTCCAGAGGCCTTACTGTCTAGTTTTAATGTCCATCGCATTTCTTTAATATGACATTTAAAAGATGTTAACAATCTTTGCGCTAACTAGAAACTAGACTATCAGTCATTTGCACAAGCGACATTACCCATACAAATTTGACATTCATTAGAGCTTAAAAGCGTCCTTAAACCTTAATGGACGTTTGTGCAACTGACCGTATGACCGACTGCTGACTGACCGCTGCATACTGGGCTTAAATAGACCTAAGTACTTAGGGCAGATGACTCTGTGTTGGCTATTTTAAGATTATAACCTAGTTTTGGCAATTTTTAGTTACGAGGAAGGGAAATTTGATACATGTATCAAATTTCTGCGCTATATAAAATAGGTTAGCGAAACAAAAATATTTTTAAAGTTTCCAAATATATGTATTCCAGGTAGATTATACTATAGCTAGCTACTTAGGAATTCTCAACGAAGTCGTGTTGATCTCGATTATTTTTCGCCCCTGTGAAAAGTCACAGGTGAGTTTGCCACGTGTCCCGCTAATTCCAACTGAGCTCTTGATCCGAATAAATTGTCGACAGGCGTTCGATGCCTACATCGAATCCCGTCGATTGTGGAATATCCTAAGAAACGATTGTGGGGGCTTATTGAGTTAGATGGAAGCGAGCGATCGCTGCACACCGAGAATAATTTGCCTTACACTATTGTGTTTACTTTGTATACTTACGGAGATTTGTCACTATTATATTTTTGTAGGCGTTATTAAAACAGGAACAAGTTTTTTGATTTTATAGTAGCTCAAAGTATCGTAGTTCATCGATCTGTATTGAATTTTCTTGTTTGTATTATAAAGTAAAAATCATATTTTCTACCTTTAAATAAAATCTCTTTGTGACTCATAGGGAATGCTATTAGTAATGAGCGAGCACAATGTTATTCACTGATTGATAAAGTTCAAACATGAAGCTTATTGAATAAATAAAATCCATGGCATAAATTTAATAATATTTACGGTTTTTTCTTTGTCTAAAACTGTTGAGTATTGTTTAGATATACGGTATTATTATAATGTATTACTAAATTAAAGTCTGAGTATATAAAATATAGTACAGCTTACTCATTGTAAAAAGACACCTAATTTTCTACGAATTATCATAATATATTTTTATTTCAAGTTATACATATCCATGTGCCATTTTGCGTACCTCCGATAGGTAAATTCAAAACTTGTATCCTATCACTAACAGGGATACGTGGGTAAATATTTGTGAGTGCAAACTTAAAAAGGTAGCGCACACCAACCACTTTCAAATCCTGAGAAATCTTGCGGCTTTAGAAACATTTCGCGCATTTGTTGTTAGGTACAAGTGAAAAAAGAATGTCAAACTAAATATGGTAAGACGTAATAAAAATAGAGAAGAAACTATTAATGATAGAGCATTGTAGATGTAGATATTTTAAACACGAATTTTAAAGGTCTTCGTATTCCGTCTTTAAACTTTTTACAATAAAAACAATCGAATGAAGTTGGACTAAGTTCGAAATCGAAACCAAACTATTGAAGAAACACCAACAACAAATGTTCTTATCTAAAATAGATGTAATTGGCCACTTATATAAAGCTTATGGTGATGTCTTGTATGGCTAGACAAAACTACTGTATGTATTCTAAATATTTGGTTTATTTATTTGGTTATTTGTTTTATATCTGTCATTAAAGTTCTGTGTCTATGGTATGAGATTTCCCAGGTATGTGTGTGGATTAATCGTTTGAATAAAAGTCTTGATTAGATATATATTTAAAACCCCCTCTTCTTTTTCCGTTTACTTATTTTTTCGTCGTACATTGCCTGTGTTATGCAAGAAAAAAATAGGTTATTAATAAGGCGGCCTATGTTATAGGTACCGTGTTTTCTTGGTTTAAAAGATTCACTTTTTTATTTATTATACGTTTTTTATACAAAGATATATACTATAAATGAGTGTTTGCTTACTTCAATACAATGGCTATTCTATGTACGTATAAAATTATAAGTATATAATTATTATTAGTTTTTTAAATAATTTTTTTTTTAAATTTTCCTAAAATAATATCCTAAAAGCTGGTACTGTGCTTCAATTGATACTAAAAATTACTACTTATAAAAACGCTTTCATATTCCAGATGGGAATGTATTACGGAACTCTTTATAGAGATTAAGGTGCAAAATCACAGATGTATATAAAGAATTAGACGTTCTGAGTGAAGAAGGAACTGCACGCGTAGCATGACAAACTCGAGTTCGTTATGCTACGGGTGCTGGATGATGCGTGTTTCGTGTAACTTGCACCATGGTCTCTCCACGATAATACAGATTGATTCCGCTCGATTCAGAAGAGAAAATTCGATTTTGTAACCGACGTGACACCCGGAATCGCTAGAAAAATATAATGCCTCGTTGACACATTAAATATAGCTTAGTATAAGTATCTGTATTGTCAGGGCTGGGCAAAATACATGATTTGCTTTGATTGAAATATAAATTACAAAATACTTTATCGCAAGTAATTAAAATATGAAATACTAAATATATTTAAGTGAGGTATTTGAAATATAAAATACTGAATTTAAGCTATTTTTAATTGAAATACAAATTACAAAATACATAATAAGACATTGTGAATGAGTTATGTTTTTTTTTATGCATTCACAATGCTATGTTTAGTATTTGAAAATTCCTAAAAGTATTAGAAAAGCTTTGACACCCTTTCACATACATCGGTTGCAGATCCTGCTGGTGTCTATGTGAAAGGGTGTCGATTTTTTTCTTATTCTTTTAGGAATTTTCAAAACCAGAGTTCCCTTTCATAAAAACTAGATTTTTGAATGATTTGTCCGACAAACATCCTCTTGCTGGAGAGTGAATAAAACCGTTTCTTTCTACAATTCCCGATAAGCACAAACTTGTGTTGAATTGTATAAATTCATTTTTTATATTTGGATATCGCTTAAGAATTGAAAGCTCTTTGCTATTATCATTAAGGAAGGTGACCAACTCCATTTTAGATGTCTGTGGTTGATCACTGTCTCTGCTGTCAAAAACAATAAAATCATCATCTTCTTTACTCGTGGTGCTACTCCTGCTGCTTCCAGGCATTATTTCATGATTTTTGTAACTTGTCTTTAAGGCATGAATGGCAAGATTTTGAATTCTTTGCCTGTCATCTGTTGTCAAAATCAGCGGGTATATCTCATAATTAATTTGCTTCACTCCATCGCCACCGTTATCCGGCATAGTGGACGACGTACATGGAGAGGGATTTTGATCATTCATCGCGAAAAACTTTAATATTTTATTTCAAATTCTACACAGAACATGAAACGAAGCTGTATTTATTCCGTTACGAACAAGTTACGATACGTTACGACTTGACTATACCCAGTATAATATTGTAATCTTTGGACTATACTTTGACTTTGACATTGACAAGTCATCTGTCATAGCGGACAGGTGCAGTGTTGCCAACTGTAATATCCGCATTACAATCATTACACTCTCGCGCCTTACACTCACGATCGGTTAATGAAGATTAAATGTATTTTGAAGCCTCAAGTATTTGAAATACTAATTACAAAATACCTCTGCGTCAGGTATTTGAAATACAAATTACAAATTACATTTTAAGGAAGTAATTGAAATAGAAATACCAAATACGTATTTGTATTTTAATTACATATTTCAATTACAAGTAATTTAAATACTGCCCAACCCTGTGTATTGTTATAATACTGCGTTAGCAAAGATTACTTTGATTAGTATAAATAAATAACTTATTTCATGAAGAACTGCAATTTCCTAAGTAACAATAATTTTGAGTAGTTGACAAGTCGGCAAGTGATTTTATATCAGGTAATGTAGGTTAATAAATAATCAATCTCTTCTTTCACACCTATTTGCATAAGATACGGTTTAATTTAAGATTAAGTTTTCAGTACCTGGATGATATTTTTAGGATTTGGGTACCCAAACAGTAAAACGGGACCCCTTAATAATAATAATAATAATAATAATAATAATAATAATAATAATAATAATAATAATAATAATAATAAAGTGTATTTATTTAACTTTTTCTACAGTAACTAATTAGCAAGTATACAAAAACTAATACAAGTTTGACCGTATACCGCTCATTCACTATCGCTGCTCTTTAATTTGTTTCATCTACTATCAGTCAAAATAAACGTAATAGTGGGTACATGGATAAAGACTTAGTAGTTAAGAATGTCCCGAGTATATACAGCGTGCGTTTGATGCAAATGGGAGTTAATGTATAAATAAGACAAAGTTGACAAATTATATATCATACAAATATAAACCCGATAGTACATTCGTTAATATATTAATGCAAATAACATACCTATTTAAGTTTTTCGATATAGTACCTCTTCAATGTTCTTTTGTTTTTCAATGATCATGCAGTTCATTAATCAGAAATGGAACCAAACATGCAAAACTTCTTGCCCCATACAGATTATTAAACCTTGGAATCACAAGCCTCTTTGATTGAGACCGCCTTGTATTGTGTCTTCGCTGTGTACTTAAGACTTCGCTGTCTTAAGTACTTAGAGGTATAATACCGGTATTATAAGTATTTAATAACGCAGCGTGATAGTTTAAAAGTGAATACGTCTCTGTCTGTCACCAGGCTTTATTTCATGGACAGTGAAAGTTAGATAGTTGAAATTTTCGCAGGTGATGTATTTTTGTTAGCGCTCTAACAACAAATATTAAAAGTCTGAGCAAAATAAATATTTAAAGAGGCTCCCATACAACAAAAGAGTAGGTCGGTGGCGTAGTGGATAAGCGCTGCGGCCCACGATCGTTGTCGTTAAGCAACTTTCGCAAGGGTCGGTCACGGGATGGGTGACCAAAAAATTATCATCTCGAGTTACTCCGTGCTTTGGAAGGCACGTTAAGCAGTTGGTCCCCGGCTGCATCTGCAGTCTTTTGAGGGTATTAACCCCTCCAATCCGCATTGGGCCAGCGTGGAGGGTCATGGCACATCCTCCTTAACCATCCATAAGGAAGGCCTGAGCCCCTGCAGTGGGGACGCAAAAGAGCTGATGATGATGAAGATGATACATCAAACGAGCGAGTGTTTGTGAGCGAGTCCGACTCGCAATTGGCCGGTTTTTTAGCTGTTTCCGAGATTCAGTAGAGCTATCCTGTAAAAATCCGACTCCGAATTCGAATTCACTCACATGAGTTCAGCACATATCTGAATTCACATAACTTAGCGAAATAATTCTATTGATTCCGCTTAAGTATAAAAAACAACATGCCCAACACTTGCCCACACTGGGCATTGTGAAAGTCGCTTAACAGGTTGGGGTTTCGAGTACATAAAGATTTATATTATCGTATCTTATTAGCCGTGTGTTTAAGATGTTAAAATATGTTTTCTTAAGATGTCTTTTACGAGCTTAAGACAAACATGAATGTTATTGAATTGGAAATAGGGTTCAATTTCATTATGATAATAACATGGCTTCTAGTGTTCGACTCTGTAACTTCAGCTTACAGTAATCATAACTCTATATCATAAGGTCCGTCCTCCAAAGGTTAATTCTTGATCATTCAAATTATTTGTTCCAAGGGCGGTTGCGACTTATATAATTCCGTGTATAGGTATTGCAATCATTATAGTTTTGAACGGGATTGTGTAGGTTTTATATTAAGACAATTAGATTCCTGTAGGCTAATGGGTCATGGCCCATCCTCCTTAACCATCCATAAGGAAGGCCTGAGCCCCTGCAGTGGGGACGTGAAAGGGGTGATGATGATGATGATGATGATGATGATGATGATGATGATGATGATGATGATGAATATCTTTCAATAAAACGTCGCCATAACAATCGTTATCACATATTAAATAGTTGTAGCGTGAAGTTCGAGAATATCCTTCAAATATATAATTGAAAGGAATAGTGATATATTTTAAAATAAGACAATTAGGCCTCTGGTTTACTGTCTTTACCGCTCCGCTGCTCGCTGTATCCATGGCCACACAACGATCGGATATTCAGCTCACGTGTCGCCGTCTGCCGTAATGTTACCCGATGGTGTTTTAAAAACAAAACTACTTTTAGACGTTGTATAAAATCGGAATTACTGCAGATGTATTGTTTTTAAAAATATGCTTATAATATTTGGTGTGCGACCGCCTTCTCTAACCTTGATTCTTTGACATTTGAGACTTTGACATGTCATTTGGTGGATTTTGGGATAAATGGCTAAGCTGGTAACACTGCTGTCAAATAAATAATTATCATCCTTTATCTTTAGTTCCTCGTTACCAAAGTACATGTCAAAGTAGTAAAACGAAACGAAATATCGGCTTAATATCTATAAGATGACTAGAAAGTAAGGTGGTAGCACCTTAGAGATGCCATGAATTTAGCAATAGGTTACGATATCAATTTGATACTTTATTAAAAATAACTAAATTAAAAATGAAAATACAATTTGAGGAGTTAGAAGTCTAACAGTAAGGTTTTTGCTTTAGCGAGCATTTATGTAGTACTGTCTGATAGAGATTGATATTTGCAATTGATTTAGTTAACGAATGGACTACCAATTGTAATAAAATGTCGGGCATGTAACGGTATAGAAATGAAAAGATAGCTATCTATACAAAATTATTAGAACCCATACATTTAGTCGTTATATTCTGTTATAAAGCCTAGAACAGCGCTGTCACAACGTAGAGGTTTAATCATCTTCTTTAATAATCTTCTTTAAAAGGTAATAAAGGTTTTATTTCATTGAAGCTCTGACGTGACATCACTGAGCTCGACGTCGCGTTAGGTGGGGTGAATAGGAGTTAACAGAATAGCTTGTCTGTTCCTGTTAAATATAATCTTAGGAAAGCTTCATAATAATCTTATGAAATGTGATTCAGCTAAAGACAAATGAAACAATGTCAAAACAAATGGTTTTCCTTTTCATGCATCCCCGCCGTTATTATATCTAGAGTTTCCAGTGCGTATCACGTATCAGGCACATATAACACCATAAAGATAAAATCGTCCGACAACCGCATTAAAAATCTTATTGTTATGACAATAAGGTCTACTTCTGTCTTCTGTATCGAGGATATCAGTTCGATCCGGCATTACGTCTTCCCATCACGTCCTGGTTCGACTCCCGGTCCTGTATTATTTTTGTCCGCATTTTGTACTTATTGCGTTGTGCCGTGTGACAGTGTCGGCATTATTAAACGTCTCATTCGCTCATTTGGTGGAGCCGTAACCTTATTTGTTCGGCTTATTAAGTTAACTGGTGTATGTGTATGAGAACCGTGGAATATTGTTGCTATTGTCTACTTGCGATTTTGACCTCTTGAAACTAATGTAAAAAATATGTTATGCAGTAATTTAAGAATGAAAACTTATGATCTAATTAGTTCATCTTAAAAATCTAATAGGGATGACAACTAATTCTTGTTTGTATGTTTGTCAGTTCGATTATTGAAGAATTTGCACGTTTTTTGCACACTCAATAAATTACGGCGGTATATTGAGTTGAAATGTCGAATGCCGTTATATATGTGTACATTTTCTAGTGTAGTTTCTTCGTAGTTACGTAGCGAGCATCCACTCCTCAACGCCTAATGCCTATTATCTAAGCTATTTCTAATTAAATTCAAACAAAATATACGTATCTAATATTTTTCTATTCCATCTGACTGGCGAACTAAAAATATTTTTTGTTTACCCAGGCATCTTCTCTATACGAGTGTCTTAAATAAATTGTATGTGGGAGGGAATACAAACTTAATTTACAACTTTTACCGAAAGTATGTGGTAAGACCTATTGTAAATTAAGTTAGTAGTCTTAATATTATAATATTAATTTTAAACCTTCAAATTTATTATTTCATTTTCATTTTATGACTTTCATATAATATGTAGTGGAATTTCTAGATTTTCAGAAACTACATGTCAATTTTGACAGTGTGATTTTCAAATTATGGTAAACACAAACTGTATTCGTAGCAAGCACAATGATAAGATAATTTTTAGCGAAGAAAAATATTGATTTTATGAATAACGTATAATAAAAGCACAAGATACAAGAGCAACAGCAAAAAAAAAAAATTCAAAGTCAAAAATTTAAAAAAATAAAATAATAAGTATAAGAGCCTCCTTAAAGAGGCCAGTAATATGATATTAAAAACATGGTAAGGCTGTCGGTAACACAAAACTTTAAAACTATGGATTTCATGAATGCACCATAACATCATGGTCATCATCACCAGCCTATTAATGCAGCCCACGGCTAGGGCCTTCCCTATTGATAGAATTGAATCAACTAGGGAGAATCGGCCATGATCCACCTCGTGCGGATGGGTGGGTATTAACGATTGCAGATTCAGCCGAAACCAACGACTTAATATTTAGTACCAAAACACTCAGACGTTATAGAACAAAATATTTTCTACATTGACTCGATCGGGAACCGAAGCCGAGACCTCTGCGATAGTTATATCTTGATGAAACCGAGGCATGCAGGCCACTCTGCTGATTGATAGTACAGATCTTAGCTACAGATGCATCTAAGCAAAGAAGACGGCGTGCGAGGCATTTGGCTACAGGTTTTGTTTTTTATATAAACTTCATAAATTATTCTTGTACTAAGTAAAAGAGTATATAGCCCTGTGGCAAATTAAGTCAATTGTTGGGCCAACAAATTTTAATGTTTGAAGACTGCGATGGGCCAAATTAAATTAAATCATCAACGATGGTCGACGGTTTACTAGCGAATATAATTATGAAATTTTACAATTCTACTGTAGTAACGTTTATTATAAAATAAAAAATAATAATAATGTGAAAAATGCGAAACTTTAAAACATAGAAACAGTTGGAAATTCCACTAATCCAATGGCACCTGAAAACACCATCCTTTTCCCCTTCCAACTTCCTAACGATGTAAAAACATAAAAAAGGAATCTTTTTTAGCACTCGATAAGCGTTATGGGCTAAGCAGCTGCCACTTTAACAAATTATTGGGAGATTTTCGCGAAAAAAGTTGTCACCCCACGAGAAGAGGGTAAACGTCGTATTTGATAGCTTGATTTTCGTGGGGCGTACGGAGAATGTTAAATTACTAGAGAAATGAAAGATAATAGGCGCTCCCCTCTCCTCCCCCATCTTTAACGGGCCTGAACTTCTACTTTACATGAAGGGAAAAAGTTTATATCCCAAAAGATTCCGAGATTCAACCCCAAAGGCGATGGAAAGTTCCGAGGCATATTATTTATTCATGGTTTTTGCTATAAACCTTTTACTCGTATTCCTCGCTGTATTTTATCTCTAATTTCTTCTACTTTTGCATTGTTTCTTTTTGCAACAAGGAAAATTATTGCTAGTTTATCAAATTAAGTACATCTTTAAAGGTGAGAATAAACAAAACTCCATTTTGAAATTGAACAATTTATTGTGAACTAATACGAACGCATAGTAAAATTTTGGATATATATTTATAATATTAATCGTATAATAACAGAACATCGATAATATAAAGCGATAACCGAGTCACCAACATTTCATAAAGCCGTAATGATTGCAAACGGGTGTCATTTTATTATATATACAAAACGGACAGGCCGATATCGAAATAGTGAACGTTTTATAGATACAATATCAAAATATTAAAGCTATATAACACATGGCCAATGGGACAACAGTCTTAGTACTAAAACAAGTTTTAGTCAATAATATTATTACATTATCACCACAATCTCTTTCGGAATTACAATTGGTATAAAAAATGAAATCAAACTAGGTATTTACTATATTTATTCAAAAAGAGATTGCGAGGGGATAACTCCAGTTAATGAGGTTAGTGAAATTTTGATAGATCATAGAAAATATAGCGATTATTCAACGATATGGCGTAGAAAAGGTAGGGAAGACGGAGGAAGACTCTTCATCTTGATTTTAGGGGTTCTCATAAAAGCAATGACAACATCGCTACTGACGGTATACTCTTACAAAACTACAGAAAATTATGTTCTTTTGTGATAGTATAAAAGTACAAAATGAGCAAGAGTTACAGACATTATAACACAATACTTTGAGGTTCGTTGCATAACACTTTTAATATTTACATAACTGTCAAGTTTATCTAATATTACTAAGTTACATTAATATTTAGAGCACTGGAGCTAGATAGAAGCCTTCTTTATGTTTAGAAAAATACAGTGGTAACCTCATTGGATAAGTGCCAAAGCTATTATAAATACGAGTATATCTAGAGTACAAAAACAGTCTCCAGATTAAATTCGGTAACGTAGCTTAATGATACGTAAACATTAGTTAAAATTTTACAAAGAGTAAAACATTTTGTTGTGATATAAACAGTTATGTTAAAAGTCGCTAATTTCAGGGTCTGTATCAGCATATTTACACGTGAAAGGGTTTCTTAACCAAGAGCAAAAAGATCGATCGCTGTGTTGTTTGTATTTAGCGGTCGTATGTTTCTTTGCGTGTGCTCTTGCAACCGCCGCCCGTCTCGTTGGATACGAATCTAAAGATGATGCATCGGAATCTCTTGGAACGGAGTCGTATCCTGATTCAGCACGTCGAGAAGTTGCAGCTGGACTATGTTTTCCTGTCCGTGGAGTAGACTCATGACCACTGTCATAACCATCTGGCTTAGTACTCGCTACAACACGTGCTATACCTCTGTCACTCTTTTCACTTTTGTCTAATCGTGGTTCAGTAGTTACAACAGGTGGCGTTACTTCAAGGTGTAAATTTGATTTTAAATCTTGAAAAGTAGTCGCAGACGGTGCTCCGCTACCCGGCATTCTTCTTTCTTCCCGTAAATTCGGATCAGATGCTCCATCTGGATGTCTTAAAGATGCTATTCTTGCATCGGTAATGTCATTTCCCCTGTATCTTTCAAACGGTCCATAGCAATCATTATGAGTAACATCCAAATCTTGATATGCACAGTCTCCTACCGCACTTCCTGGCCTGGACATAGACCTTCTGCAACTATCACAAATTTTGTCACTCGGTCTGTATGCAGGTTCACTATAAACTGATCCATCACCATGATATTCTTCAGTATCACGAACATTAGATAGAGATAACGATTGAAATTGTGGCGCAATTACTCTTGATATTGGTGAGTGATTATTATCTAATATTCGACGAGAACCATATAATTCTGCTAAACCTATAATTTCGTCAATTCTTGATCTAGATGACTGTAAACTTTGGTGTGGATTAATATCACCAATAGGTTCGCAACTAAAGTTCTCGACATAAAATCCCATTGTTTGTCTAAGATATGCTTCATTTCTAATTTGCCGTTCAACTTCACTGTACAAAGATAAAGTATCAGTAAATGTGGATGCTACTGTTAAATTTTCTTGACTTAAAATTCTGAGAGGATGATCGTCACAGTCTTCTTGATCGACTTCAGGCAAGGGATTTTCTGAAAATCCCATGCAAAAAGCTATGTCTTCTTCTGTAACCTGAAGACAAGAATCCTGCATTGGGACTGGTTCTAATGGTTCTTCTACTTCAATTATTTCTAAAATTTCATCTTCATCATCCATTGGACCTTTACTCATACCTTGAGCGTCAATATCTCGGCTGTGATTCGAAACTAATTCATCGTTCATTCTTAATCTTTCTTTATATTTGCTATCTAAGCTTTCCATTGACACTTCTCTACTATTTAAACTACTAGGCTGCATTATTGGCAATGCTGGGGGAATTTCAGCAGATTCTTCACTATCATCATCTTCTTCCGGTTCAGTTTTGGTGGAAGGTTTAGAGGCATTTCCTCTTTTCAATAATGAGTTTGAATCATTTATAGGTGGACCTATATTTTCTTCTTCAATAGCTATACCTTTGGAACCAGCTTTTAGCCCTGTTCTTATAGTAGATTCCTCAACGTGTATTTTCCTAACTGCGTCTCTCATCATAGGCTCTAATCTTAACGCCATTATTTCTTCTTCTGACATTCGTAAGATAGGATCTTTATTAGAGACACTAGCTTTGTGACTAGGTGAATTGTGTCTTGACCTGTGTATTTGTGATGTTTGATTTTCAACCCACTTTCGTATCATATTTTTCTTGTGGCTATCCATATAACCATAACCAATATTTTCATTTCCTTGGGTACTTAAGATACTGATTTGAAGGGGTACTGTATTTGATTGAATCGAAGGATCAAATTGTAGAGGATGTTTGGTCTCTTGCATAGGACCATCAATCCATGTCTCACGTTTTTTACATTGTGGCTCTTTAATTATGTGACGCGCTTCAACTAATTTAGATTTTGATATTCTCGGTCCGTCGATCCACTGTTCATCACTAGTGCCTTTACCTTCTTCAGAAAATTGTTTTTGACAAGGTTTTTTCGTAGGAGTGGCCTTCGGAGTGGAAGAATGAATAGGTGAAGATTTTTGTGTGTTTATACTTGGTATTGCAGTTTTTAAAGGTGATGCTTTAGGCGATGCATGTGGTTTATGTATAGGACTTTTTTCTTCAACAACTTTTGATAATGACGATTTATGCCTTTGTTCAGCAGCGGAACCTCTTAATGCTTTACTTAAAACACATCTGTTATCACCAGAATTGATATGTGGTATATAAACGGGTGGATGTTCTCCATCTGTAGCATCGTCCAACGGACCTACATAAATAACCGTATCAGCAGAAAGATCACTACTAGACGGGTCTGGTTCACTGCTACTAGGTTTGGATGCATCTTCGCCAGAACTACCTCCCGACCCCGCATTGTTGTTTGAAGAATATTTTACTTTTCGTCGCCTTAATCTATGTATTCTTGAAGCTAATTGTAAGGTAGTTAATGTGTCAGAATAATTTTGTACGTTAGGCGATACATGCACAATCATAGCAGTGTGACACGTTAATGAGCCAAGACATTCTTTCAGCACGTGTGTGAGATTATGATCTCTGTACGGTAAGTGCCTTTGGCCGTTAAATATAGCTAATAGAATATTTCCTAAGCCGGATAATGGAATTCCTCCGTTGGTTTTTCCTCGTTCAGAATTCCCCAGGTCTATGAGATGTAACCGGCTGCGCCCTCCAGCGACTGTGAAAAAAGGTTAGGTTACTTCGTGCAATGTATTCGAAAAGTAGGTATTTATTGTTTAATGCAATTTATAATTTTGTTTAACGAGCAAGTTAAAATAACCTCTTTATGTTCTGTATTTCAAGACGAGTAGAGTAGAAGCGTATAAAACTAGTTTAAAATTTCAATGTGACTAGTAAGTTAATGTTTAAAGAAAATACGGTGTTGTAAACCTTAAAAATATTTTAGATCTAAGGCTAAAAACATTTCAAGTGTTTTTGAAATAAAAGCGATTAAAAAATATTGATTTACTATTGTCACTTCTATCCTTGATTCAATTAAGATTTTAACTAAATACATGTATTATGAATTTATCTTACCAGCGCCTTTTCCTCCGACGCTGTATTGATACACGTGTAGGGTGTACAGTAGATGGCTGTCTTTTCCTTCTTCTCGGGCACCACGCGTAGTCAGAGCTGCATCCAAGTAGAAAGCTGCTTTCTCAGGGCTGTGTACGCGTAGTTCCGCTTGATTTTGCAAGTGCGTTCCAAACAGTGGATCGTCACGGAGATATACTCCAGGGGACTGTTCTGAGTCTAGAAAAGATAAGATTTTATTAATATTATTTGCCATTGGCTTGCCTAGGTTAATATGTGCCCTTAAGATCTTTTGTAGAATTTTGTAGCTCAAACTAAACTGAAACCGGTGCTTCGCCCATTCCTGGGTGATTTAAATGCATCACGTCTTGACCCTTTTCTTCACACAGGGTCTATCATTATGTATCTGCTAACTTGTTTGTTTTGTCTTTTTATATTATTTTGTGAGTAGTTGATAAAAAACATACCTAATATGTATTTAATAAAAATGTTTAAAGTTAATCCTTTGTAAACTTGCAATTATTCAAAATCTGTGGGAACTTATTTATGGCTATTAAGAGTAAGCGAAATAAAAATAAATTAATTTTCAAAACTTAGTTCTAACCGTTCTGATACGGCGCCAGTAAATCTCTGATTTGATTGGTGTTGGTGCACAATTCCACGGCTGACACCCTGACTGAGAAGCGGGTGCCACATTTGTGCCTCTGTTCGGCTATGCCTCGGAACAGCCACGATATGGCGCATGGTATCGCGCCTAACGCTGCTGTGGAGTCTGGTCGCCCCATCATAGTGTAGGATTTACCTGAGAAAGAAAGAAATGACTTTGATAAATTTAATTTAATTATATGTAGAGTGCGAAATGGTTGGAGATTAGCAAAGACCGGAAAAATGGCTGAAACTGAAGGAGGCCTACACCAAAGCGGTAGAAAATGACTGAAGAAAGAAAAGGGGAGCTTACAGCATTGTGGCTTGGTAACACTGGTTGATGACATTCGCATGCAGTGTGGGGGCGATTTCTGTTCATCGATTTCATTGGTTGGTCATTGTTTTATTGACCAATGAGATAAGTGCGCAGAAGTAGCCCACACTGCGCGTGATCACCCTATCGATTAGTGCAACTGAGTCATTTTAACGAGCTAATTACAAGCTTCCGCAAACAAAGAATCTAAAACTAGAGAAATACTAATAAAATAAAAAGTGAAAGTCGCCGAAACGTTGGGTTGACTCTAATAAAATATCTTATATATTTATTTTATAAAATATTTGTATCTACACGGTTTTCCGTGTAAAATTAATATAAATAATATAATATTACTTTTCACAGATAACCACAACCATAGATGACCAGATAACCGTGTGGGTATATCAGTCGCCCGGATTGCGAAAGGTTGTGGGTTCGAATCTCATCTTAGAGTACCAGGGGCAAAGTGGATTTTTTAAGCATTTTACATTTCTGTTATATATTCCCTTCCTTCACTTCTGTGATATATTCAAAATCATATACTTATCAAAATAAACTACCGGTTTATCTCCGCTTATGTGAAAACTAGATTTAACGTAAATCCCTGGGCTTATTACACCTAGCGATAGTTCCCGAGGTAAGAATCCAGTTATAATTAAAACTTGGCTTAAATTATTCACTCGGTTAGTTCAGCGATGTATGAAATAAAGTTACTAAACCATTAAAAGCTATGGATCCTGTGAAGCGATATTTCCGAAGTAATTACAGTAACAATATTCTACTTTTAAATGTTTACTGTTGCGCACATTTATGTGAAATTATATGTACTCTATTAGTAAAGAGTAATTTATTTGCTAGCTAGAGCTTAGTTAAGATGGCTTCCAAACAAAAATAATGGCGTTAAATAGACTACTAAAAAAAAATTTACTTCTATTAATATAAAGATGAATAAGTTGTGTAAAAGTCTTTTTAAAGTCACTAATCACTTTTACAAAAGTGAATGTAGTGATGTGCTGCTGCGTGTAGTAATAAATAAAATCAAAACGGTATTCATTGGTTCGCAAGTCCTTTAAGAGAGATTACATCGATATTTAAATGTTTAAATTTAAAATTAAAGCTATAAATATTTATAGTTATCAGTGGAGGCAGACTTTTGTTCCACGTTTCGTTAAGTTCGGTTTTAGCAGGATTTCGGTCGCTTTCCCTCGAAGTTTCATTTGCGAGGCTTTCATTCAATTTGCATTTAGTCATAATCCCTGGGTAGGGGTAACCGCTCACTGCTTTGTACCATCCACATCACGAAGTTATGGTGACGAGTGAGTGCACGACAAAAAATAATTTATAGAACTTTCTTCTAAATAAAATAAATTTTATTGTTTATTTCGTCTTAATTAATTGGCAGTTTTGAATTTATTATAGCTTTTAATGTTACTATTTTAATGCAGATTTGTTAATGGCTTTTAAGAAAAAGTCTCTAAGTTTTCACACGGTACAATGGTTTTCACGTATTAACGAGAAAAAATCGTAGTCAGTGAACAATTTTTAATTGTATTCTTTAACCTGCTTTTATCGGAAATGAAAAAAAATGTTAAAAAACACTTGCTATTTATATATTACTGTATTGTTTTTGACAATATAAGTACAAAATATTTAAATGAAAATAAAAATATTTAAAAAGCAAACAAAAAAAAATCGAAATTTAACCATAGGAAAAAAGGTGAGCACGGACAAAAAATTCCGGTTTATATCATAGTTATTTGTATTAAAAACGTAGTTTGACAGGATTCAAGCTAGTCAAACTTGTTTAATATAATCTGTCAAAGTTGAAACTCTATGCCATCGGTTCACAAGTCTATGACGGGGGACACTGTACCGAGAAGAACCGGCAAGAAACTCGGCAAGGGCTGCATATTCTCTCTGTTTCATTTCATAGAGAGTCGTCAATATTGAAAAATAACTTCATTAAAATATGATGTCATTTTCGATGACAATATTAGAAAATCTCTCTCAATCAATCGATTGATATCACATATATGTAACGTTAAATAGTATGATATACGATAAATTACACGATACGCACCCAACCACTACACACTTGTGAAATATATCATACGGGGTTGACATAGGCAATAATTTACGCGTGCGAAGTCGCGGGAATATAGCTAATTTTATATAGTCGGAAAGTCTTGTACAATATAGAGGACAGTACAATATAGATGATAGTACACTATAGATTACGATTACACTCCCTTCTACAGTATATGATGTTCTTGTACTGTACAAGAATATCAACTAGTACCAGTACTGAACAAGGTTTAGCGTCCGAGTAAATTTACGCTAAAATTGTAATTTTAGTATTTGTTCAAATTCATATTATACAGAAAATAAGCAGGACCTTCTAGGAGTAAATATTATACCCGTAGAACCTCATATTACGTTAACCTTTGCTAAGTTGTTTAATTATTAAAATTTTCACTTATACTAAGAGCAGTCTCAGCGTAAATTAATCTAATGCTAAACCTTGTTTATTAATAGCACTAATAGATATTCTTAATAAAAATACTTAAAAAATTCCACTTGGTCCCTGGTGGGTACCAGGGATGGGATGGGATTCGAACCCATTACTTTTCCCAATCCCATCGAGATTTTTAAGCATTGTTCATTAAGAATATATTTCAGAAAATAGCATTGTGAATTCTAAATTGATCAAATATATTAAACACTGATAGAGTTTTGACAGTACTAAAGCTAAATTTAGTTAATATTTGTCGACAGAATAGGGATGATGACTAATTTTTGTTTGTTTGTCCGTCAGGTAGAGTGTTAAAAAATATTAAACACGTATTTTTTATTTTTTTCGTAATCATAATATAACGGCGATACATGGAATTGAAATTTCGCATGACGTCACGTTATGGTACGTTTTCTACTCAACTGTGACGTAGCGAGCCCCCACTCCTCAACTTTAATGCCTGTTATCTAAGCTATTTCTTGTTAAATTGAAGTAAAAAAAAATACGTATCTAATATTTTTCTATTATCTGACTGACGGACTAAATAGAATTGCATTTTTTTCCCCAGTCATCATCTCTATTGCTTTTATTTTCAGAGTATCTTTGGTGATGCATTTTCTATGTTTGATAGTCGGAAAGTCTAATGTGGTACAATTTAGATTACTCTGCCATCTAAAGTATATTATGTACAGAGTATCACAAAAGAGGAATCAGATTATGACTCGAATTGTAAGGAATTAATAGGTATAATGAGAGAATATTTCGGAATTGTTAGGGAAGGCTGTTATCAGGATCTCGGGGATTATACAACTTCCTTCGGGATCCGATCGTTGCGAGTTCACTCAATTTGCAGATACTAACCACTTGATAATGGATTCATCAAGGATTGGTTGGATTATTCGTAGATATATATTTATCGCTAATAATGTTTGTTATTCATATAGGTAGTTATTTCAATGTTAATAGGGATGATGACTAATTTTTGTTTGTTTGTCCGTCAGGTAGAGTGTTAAAAATATTAAACACGTATTTTTTTATTTTTTTCGTAATCATAAAATTACGGCGTTACATTGAGTTGAAATTACGCATGACGTCACGTTAGGGTACGTTTTCTACTCAACTGTGACGTAGTGAGCCCCCACTCCCCAACTTTAATGCCTGTTATCTAAGCTATTTCTTGTTAAATTGAAGTAAAAAAAATACGTATCTAATATTTTTCTATTATCTGAATGATGGACTAAATAGAATTGCATTTTTTTTTACCCAGTCATCATCCCTATTGTTGAAAAATATTGTTTTGTAATGAAATCTAAGGTAACTAATGTAACCATCTATCAAGGATCGTAGTGTCATGAAAAGTAGGAGCTGTATGTAGTTCTGATGACAATACAATAATATGGTATTGTTGAAATGATCTAATGATGGAACCGGAAGATATAAACTGGAACTTCATGACGGAACATCGTATCGTAGCTGTGTTTGGACTTGTTAGAAAGGTCTTGTAATGAACTTTGACCACGATAAAGTTTCAAGGTTTGATGATGATAATGGAAGATAGGCACTGGCAATCAAAAATAACCTATTTAAAAGGTAATAAAAGTCTATTTAAAGCTCTATGACGACTAAATATTAAATATAATTTTAAAAAATATCAAAATCAATCTTCATAAAATGAATAAATGAAGGTTTATTTAAAACATATTGATATCTCATCATCGTAGTTCAGTCTTAATCTCGCAATTCCTTTCAAAGGTTAGCGATTTATGGAATTATGTAACGTTTATAGTCGCAACCTGTTTTGGAACGACAATCTTTCTTCGCGGCTGTTAAGTGAATTTGCATACGAATGGGAACAGTCGGGACACCTAATTGAAAGTTTTATAAATAGGGACTTGAGGCAGTAAACAAACTTTTGAAATTTGCACATATTCATTGAATAGAGAATATGCATATTTTCGGAAAACGTTTTTATATAATAATTTACATCGAAATATAACTGCAAAAAATACCCGGCACCGTAAAACTAAAATTTTGTAACATTAATAATTGATGTAAATAAGAATTTTTGGCGCGCTTGTCGTGACGTCAAAGTACACGACTAGAGATATGACATTTTAAATCAATATGGATTTTGAGTTATTGATTATCGCAAATCGATTAACAACTATTCGATTTTTTAAAGTATTATAGACTTTTTTAATAAACCATATAGTTTACCAAATTTATGAAATAAAAATAAAAGCCTAAAACATCATTCAAATTGTAATTTGTTGTTTATTTTGCGACATAATACATTGATTTTATTGCATCGATGTTAACTTTTTGTAACAACGACATCCCTTTACGTGTACATTTTCGTCACATCCACTCTGACAAGTAGCATGGCGTTTGAATATTTTGAAGTTACCGCATTTTTTTTGCATTTTTTAATAATTATTTTTAAAACGAAAACGAATTTATGTTAAAAAATATTAGCATAGACTTTATTTTTAAGCAATAATGATCGTAATAAAATATATTTAACCCTTTTTTGAATCAGACGCATATTCCTTATTAACAGACATTTTATATAAACACGTATAGCATACGTTATACTGAAAATAGGTTTAAGTCAGGCTTCATTAATAAATTGTCAGATCGCGATTTTAAATAGTCTTACACCAGATAAATGGGTTAACACGTTAAATATTTGATTACTATGATATCGTAGGTGTTGCTGGTGACGTTAACATAGGTAAAAGCAAAGAATATATACAGTGTAAGTAGAATTCAAATAGATTTGAGAGTGTTTGAGACTAGATAAAAAGAGGAAACAATGCCATCACTGTGTACATGAACAGAAACTTGAAACGCAAAATCTTTAATATTATAAGTAAAAAATGGTTATAAACTAATTGCGGATAGGTCAATTATTCGAACCTTATAAATGCAATACTTCAAAAAATTTACTTTATTCTTTGAAATTTGAGTCCATTTCGAGTATCCATAAGTACGAAATTTTTAGACCAGCATTACTTAAGGAGTTTTTTTTTATCATTGGCAAAATTAGTATCTAGTCATTGCGGATACATCGGGCCAGCGGCAAGGCACGTAGCCTTTCGAAGAATCGAGTAGTTCGAGATAATAAATTTTTGGTCATATTTACTATCAAAGCGGATTGGAGGTTATTAACGACTGCAAATGCAGACGGATTCAATGGCTTAACGTACCTTCCGAAGCACGGAGTAGCTAGAGATAATAATTTTTCGGTCACTCATCCCGTGACCGACCCGAACAACGATAGAGGGCCGTGGTGATAATTTATTAAGCCACTGAGATACTTTATTTACTACTAGCTTTCCGCCAGCGGCCTCGCTCGCGTGATCCGCTGCTACCTTACTCATAGATCTAAACTCCTCTCCCGCACGCGCACCCCCGCCTTTATGACGTCCACTTCGCAACCGGCCGTACAGCAGAAATCGTAATATTTTAATTTCGCCATAATTTCAAAACCAAACGTCCAATTTTAATCATTCAAAGACCAAATATTATCTACATAAACTTATGATAAGGATTAATAGAATGAGTAAAATAAACGCATTTAAATGTAGTCCAAAAAAATTAAAGATTTTTAAATAAATAAATGGTTTCGATATAGATAGGTATAGTGTGCCGTGGACTTTTTTGTAGATATTTATAAGATCTGCAATTAATTAGAACATTTTATGGTTCTATCTATTATAGTTTAGGCAGCGTACGTAAAATAAGTGACTTTTCTGGTTGATTTTTTACACCTTATGTCCGAAAAACCCAAATATCTTACGAAACCTTATTTTTTTCCAAAATATAATATAGCCCATGTTACTCGTGAATAATGTAGCCTTTGATTGGTGGAAGAATTTTAAAAATAGGTCCAGTAGATACTGAGCCTTTCCATTACAAAACAAACAAAAAAATATACAAACAAAGTTTTCCTCTATATAATATTAGTATAGATTAATACTGTACCTAGTCCTGCGTGTCCAAAGCAGAAGAGGCAACCGTCTGTTCCGTTTATGACGGCGTGGATGACGTCAGTGAGGGCGCTCGAACATATTTCAGTCTGAAACAAACACAAAAAGTTTTAATATAAGTATAAAAAATAAATAAAGTCACTGTTGACGAAGACGACGCGTTACGCATGTGTTTAGTTATATGTGAAAATGATATGACGACGTTAAAAAAAGAAAGAAAGAACGAAAGAGAAAAAAGGGTATGATATTAACGTGTTTGATGACGTCATTGCTACTCGGGTATAATCATTTACAAAGTTAGAATACTATGCTACTGAAATAGACCGCTTTTATAATTATCACTATTAGCTCCTATTTTGATATAGAAAAAATGAGAATATCAATTTCTCCTGTATACTAAAGTGATTTCGTTTAAATTGTACAATATTCATATATATTAGTATATATAAGCTTCTAAACAAGTCTGCTGTTTAAGTCGGTTTTATTTATCATTATATTTTTGGATATCACTCCACTACAGATTATAAAGAGAAAAGATTTAATTATTTGTTTGTTTATATCAAATAGGTTCCAAAACAACTACACTGGTTTAAAAAAAATCTTTCACCTGCTAAATCATACGCGGGTGTAAAACGGCTAGTTACCCGTGACTTCGCGTTATAATACTTACTAATTTTATATATATTATGTTGACTGGTAGGTTATTTATGTATAACTAAGTTAAACCTGGCACGTTCGAGTGTTTACACTTGCTTAATAAAACCGAGTGTTTTCTTTCGATGGCCCCAGATAATTACACAGACTTAAGCGAGGTGCACAGATTACACTAACTTAGGGTGACCATGAATGTCCATAATAGAATAGTAAATAAAGAAATTCACTACATTTCTTAATTCGTATTGCTTTATCACAAGCCTATGAATGTCCCCAGTGCTAGGCCACAAGTCTTACCTATATCTGGAATTTAATAGTAAATATGAGCCATGACTCACACGCGGACCCAATGCGGTTAGGGTAGAACATACAATTAGTTTAATTCAGGAAAACCTATAAGTAGCTTTACTCTTTGTTAGTATTAATAATTGATTATTATAATTTTGTAAAAGCCGTTGGTTTTCTTACAATAAATAAAAAATAGGTGGGTGACGACTGCGAATGTAGCTGAGACGAATGGTTTAAACTCCCTTCCGTAGCACGAATGTGTTCGGGATAATAATTTTTGGTCACTTATTTTATGACTGGCGATTGTAAAAGTAGCTTCAGAAGTTAAGCAGTTAATCGCAGATTAAACGTCCTAACCACGCGATCGAGCTGGCCATTCAAATAGATAAAGTTTGTTTTATTAATTGTATTAATGTCACAAAATCGAATTACAGTAAATTATTTTAAGATATTACCTATATATCATCATTTAGTACTATTAAAGATTGTGGAATAATGTTATGTATAAGTAGATATAGATACCTAAGCGGCTGCGTCCGCGTCATTATAGTGAATAAAGAGCAGTGCGTTGACAGCCGTCTAGTGTTTCAATCGTACCTTAGATCCGCATATAAAACAAATAATATCCAACTTGATTTTAAAATTGAATTCTAATAAAACTAAAAAAAAATACTTAAGAATTCACCATTCCCTCCCCAGGCCGATATGGAATTGGAATCCTGGTATTGGTATTTCTTGTAATATTTCTTAGTGAGATAAATATCAATAGAGCATAAATAAATCTAACAAATAATAACTATAATCTAACAAATAATAATAAATCTAACGGGATTTTAAAAATATAAAATAATATATTTTTAATTGAAGGGAAGGGTAAGCGGAAGTCGAAATATTTAAAATCATGGACACACTAAGCCGAGTATTCGTTTACTCGGCACGGAAATACTGAAATTGTTTTGAATGAAAATTTTAATGACCTCTCGGTTCGCTAATTGAAAATACTTAGCCGGTGCGAGAGGGCGCTTACTTAATCAATTTCATTATCACTTCCAACGTTTTTGATTGTCCATAATTGTTTGATTCATTATTTGTATAATGATGCCTTTAAAATAAAGTTCTTTCAAAATACACTTAAGAATACGAAGGAAGTTTTATTTAATATTTCTCAAACTTTGTTGACGGTGAAATCCTTCTGGAAACAAGTCCAAAAACGTGTACTCTTTATGACTATAATAATTATTCGTTGCATCAACACCAACAGACTCATCTTGGAAGTATGATCTGCGATCCAAGGCCGGGGATCGAATTTCATTTTTTTTGCCCAGGATCTCATATTTATAAATTGTTTATTTGTACACCATCCACTACCCCATCATTAGGTCTTTTATATTTAACTCCATTCCAAGGTTGCATGGAAGAAATCACTTTTAGTGATAAGACCGCCAATTGTACGTCTCCTGGTTTTGTCATATAAGTGTATATTGTCTTTGTGTGTGCAATAAAGAATATTCTATCTATTTATCACACGAGGCACGACCAAAGTGCATTATTTACTTTAACTCTAATCATTAGCCGAAATACTAATATTTTTATGGACCCCCTACATATGAAACTATCGGACTAAGTAGAAATCTTAAATTCTTATAGTAATTAGACGTATATTGCCTATATACAGCGATATTTATCACCTCAGAGTAGTACTAGACGTATCCCACGGGACATCGCCATGTTAGATATCAGATCGGGACTACGTGATTTCACCGTCCATTCCATATAGGTTTGCAGGAATTATTCATTCTAAAATCCTTTGAAATCAACGTGAATAGTGGAAGCAAAGTCGGTCCCAACGAAGCGAATCCATATATAATTTTTTCTCATGTGATTTAAAATAAATTCTGTACCGATACATATTAGGACTTAAGGTACTTATTTACTTTTGAAAATATCAATTTAAAAGTGTAATAAATATACTCAAATTGCTTTGTATAAAAATAAATTAAATAAGGTCAACCATAAATTAGTGTTCTAAATTACAAAAATTAATCGATTATCGTCATCGTACAGCGACGGACGTAGCTGAGGGTTTCACACGCCTATTTAAAGATGCCGTGTCAATCGTTCGTTTCCCAGACGTGTTAATTTAAAAAATGATTTTTTCTATATTATTTTAAGTTTAAATTTTGATATCCACACAAGGATATTAGATAATCAGTTGGTATTATCGTATTGGTTGTTATTTTATATTTTAAAGATAACGCTTTGTTCAATCTATAAAAATCTCATTCTTTACATTGATTGGGACATGTCCGTCTGTGTACCTAGCTATAGTGAGCGGCTGGCTACAATCGTTAATCCTGCTAAGCTGCCAGCCTATTGGCCGATAGCAGCCAAAGAGTTATTGCGTGGATCACTTCTCTATGTTGCTGCCATATACAGCTTTATACAGGATCCAATGTCTCCATAAATTATCTTCCTTGCTTCATTGTAATCAGATCCAGTAAATTACATAATATTCACGTTTATAGTATAGAAATCTCGTCCGTTTAATATGTAAACATTCTGATATCAGTTTTACCCAATATTTGAGGAGCGTGATAATGAATAGGGCTAAATCTGCTAATGTTAGCTTTTTTATGGGGACTCAATAACTTTCAATAAGTACTGTTTTTAAGCAGTTCGTTTTACTAGTTCACAAAATAAGATATATATTTGTCAATGCACTTATTGGACTCCAGGTAGATAGTATAATGGCTATCTGCAATTAATCGAGATTGTTTTGAGAAGCTACTATTACCTTAATATTATAATTGAGGTCGAGTTGTATCTTTAGATATTTATTTTTTGCACATCTTCTTACTTATAAATAGAAATTACTTATGTTTTTTATATGTCGTCTCTCTTGCTCTAATTTATGTATGTTTAATTGCATGAAGTGAGACAGGGCACGTTCGGTAAACTCATTTATTGTTTCTTCGGTCTTTGAAATTCATAGGATATATCTCCTACATTCTACACTTACTAAGATAAATCACCACTAATACTTTACGTACGAACGGTGAGACGCTTAAGCGATGTTTCCATTTCGCTTAGTGGAGTTGTCTCGAGACTCTGTTTTGATATAATAATCGTGATATTTCTGGTCCAACGGACCGTCCAACGTTAAGCTGCCTGTCTACCCATGTCCGAGTCTCATTGTGTTTCTAAACCCCTTTGGCTTGGTACGTTTTGATGGTTATAACGCCTTGTATTTTTGATTCTCGACAAATTTATCGTATTTTCGTACTAATAAACCGGATTTTCACAAGAGAATATGAGAAAGCAACACTTTTTATCTTTACAACGAACTCAAAGTAGTTCATAAATATCTAAGAAAGATATTTTAATTTAACTAATACGGTTCAGTGTCTCAAGGAATTTTGCTTGACATTTTTTTGTGTGTAAACTTATCTCTTTTAGACTTTGAACTAAAACCACAGATTATTTTAATAATTGAAGACAATACACAATATAATACGGATATTAGATGTAATTAATGTTTATTGATTCAATAATTGTTAAAATAAAACTGTTGGTAAATTATGCATTTGATTTAATGATTAAAATAAAAATTATTTTGAATACTTTAACTGTTTCCCCGCGATTAAATAATATCCTCTGCTAATCGCGTATTATGTAGCTTAATTTTTATAAAAACGTTCCAATAGTTTCAGAGCCTATTGGATGCAGACAATCAAAACTTTTCGTTTTACACACTAGCATAGATAAATATTCTTGTGATATTTATGTGTGTTTTTTTATTTAAGTAGCTCGACTTTCTCTTAGGGGTCGTCCATTAATCACATCAGGCTCGAAAAGGGGGAATTGTGTTCGTAGAAAATCACGAAATGTCACAAGGGGAGGGGGGGGGGGGTAGTAATGTAACACAAGTATTTTTTTTCCTTAACGTGCGATTTTTAAACCAAAAAAGCGGCGTCAAAAATAAAGACTGGTGGAGGGGAAAGGGGTAGTCTTGAACTTCACCATGTATCACCAAGTTGGGGGTAAAATGCTGGAAAAAAACATCACGTGATTAATGGACGGCCCCTTAGGTAAATGAATTAATCATCATCTGCATATTGATGTCTTTAATACTGGGGCTCACAATCGAATAAAATCGAAATAGGGATAATCGATAATGACCCACCACGAGTCTAGTTATCCGCACATTAAATTTGTTATAACTCTCTTCATTTTCAGATATTCCTTTAATTGGGAAAATAATGATATAATTTATTACTTACCTGGTAAAGTGTAATTGATTTCACTACAAAAGAAAAGTATTTTAAAAAGCAAATAAAAGAAGTATCAAAATCATGAAGGTTTACCGTCGAGTTTAACAACAGCTTGTGAAAAGTGAATGTTGCCAACGTTAAAAATCACCATTTATTAGACATACTCCTAAGTATTTGTACCGCGAATGTTATTCCACGGTAAACTGTAGTGTAATATTGAATTTATATCTTACATAAAATATTGCAAATGGTTTGTTATTATTAGATTTTATCAGTAAAATAGATTTAACGGCAATCAGCCTACTGTAAATCAGAATCACCCCCTGATTGCTAATGTATTGTCTACGGATTACGTAGTTACTGAGGATTACGTTATATTTAGTGAGGCATACGAATGTGTCCGATTTGCGTAAACTAGTCAGTAGTGATTTGAAAAATTGATTTTCTGAAATTATATAATTTTTTTAAATTGGATAAATGTAAACGAAACTATTTATCTGTTTATATATACATCCAGTATCATTCTATTAAGGATTCATTGTTATTTGCAAGGATTTCTTGAGCGCGACCTTGTAATTTACTTGCCATAACTCTAGCTATAGCTATAAAAAAAGTCTTTAATAATTAATATGTTTTATATTTCTTTACAACGACATGTTTATTACAATTTATTTATTTTAGTATATTTCAGTTTTTAAAATATCTTTGTTTGTCTAAATTCTTTTTGATTTTGTCACATTTTGTATTATTCGCAAAACTATACCAACCAAAATCATTTATTAAATATGCCAATGAATAAATAAGAACATTATAAAATAATATAAAAAATCAATCAAACGTTTTTATAGGTATGGCTGGAGTTATAGTGAGATAATAAGGCGATTGTTGGTTTGTCAAATTTTATTAACGCATTAATCTGTCACACCTGGAAATAACCTTTCAAATATTTTGTTGCGAATAATAACTAATTAATAAAAAAAAAACATTAAGTAATTTCTGCGCTTCTAATTATGTAAAAATACCAAAATTTCAGTCTATTTAACACTGAACTTGGTCACGAAGCCGATGATAATAAAATAATTTTACAAAAAAAACTTGCGATAAAATGGTCAATATCCTTTTTGTAGTTTAATTTCTGCGTACAGACAACATGAAGCGACTTATTTTATACTACTTATAGAAGAAATATAGAAGAATTAAAGGACATTTTCTTCGATAAAAAATAACAAACCATATTATCAAATTAAGTGAATGTTTAAAAAAATTGCAATAGATGTTCGTATTGTGGACATGTGCATACGAAACTTCCAACATAGGTTAATTCAACGTGACTTGATCGTGGTGTAACCAGACTTCGATCAAATTAATCCTTGTTCGTTGATATACGGCTAACTGGGTACTAGATGAAGAGGATTACACTATATTAACGGGACTCAGGATGCATGGGTTTGTATTGTCGCTGGATTAATATATGACCATGAATTAGATTTACAAATACGGGATCGTTTTGATTTAATAAGCCTTTAATTAGCTTAGCTCGAAGGCTTACTTGTTCGCGCATTTGGTCTTCGATGTGGCAATTAAGCAACTTTCTCATACCCCAGTATTGTATTAGTGGCCAAAAATTTGTTATCTCGAGCTCCTCTTGGAAAGGTGTGGTAGGTAGGATCCTGACTGCATTTTTAGTCGTTAGCACCTGCCAATCCGCACTGACCCGAGTGGCGGGTAGTCGTACATTTTCTTTATTCATATCGGTTCGATTCCATTCATACGGCCGACTAAGCTTGAGAACTTGATTTGATAAGGGCAAACAAAAAAGAAACCCTTTTGTTTGGGTTTAGTGAGTCTTTATTATTTTTGATTGGAGATAGCAATATATATATAGCATTAACAACAGGTAATAGATAAGAAATTGCTATTGATTGAAATAAATTATGTTTAATGATACTAACTCGACGAATTTTCACGAACTGACATTCATAGAGAGCATATTTTTTCCTTTTTGTAACGGTTGCCTGGAAGAGATCGCGTCTAAGCGATAAGGCCGCCGATTGTACTTATTGTTAACTCAACTGTAAATTTTTTGACTGTATGGTGTTTGTACAATAAAGAATATTTCATTAATTCATTCATTCATATTGGATTACTCAAAATTTCAAATTACGACAAGCGAATGATAAAAATAGATGACGTTGAAGATTAAAGACAAAAAGTTTGCATGCGGAAACCTAGGACGAAATAAACGGTGGTGCGACGCACCGTTACAAAAGGAATCAAATCTTATAGAGAGAATAGCTCATGGCAATGGAATCATCACGCAAGCCCTGTGCGGATTGGGTGTTCACTATTGTAGACGAAGCCGCGTGTAAAGGCTTAATATTCACTTAATAAATATATATATTAAGTGATCTGAAATGTATAAAGTAGGTCGTAATGTTCTAGACGAACAACACTGTTATTAAAGTAATAAATCTAGACATAGTATAATAAAGACCCTACCCGCTGTCTGTACGCTGGGATCTTTTAAACTTCACAACGAATTTTAATACGGATTCCATCAAAATACAGGTTGATTCAACAATAAGATTTATATGTATAATGCAAGTCCACACGAGCACAGCCGCAGACGGTAAGCTAGTAAAATTAATAAAAGAATGAGATCACTCCGCCAAATGCTGAGATTTTTTTTTCTGTTACGGGAATGTTCAATTATGAACTGGTATGGAATTTTGACCGTTCGTTGGGACAATGGAGGGAATGAAGGTTTAAAAAATGCGGAACGCTCGCAAAGTTTGTGTTATTAAAACGAGGCAACGTTAAACTATTAATAGCATGAATTACAGAGTATTAAAATTCCGAAGCATTTATATCAAACTAGCTGACCTGGCATATTTCGTACCGCCATATACTAGTTTTTTTTTTTTTATAAATTATATCTTTTTCTATATTTTCTTATATACAAACCTTATCTTGACAATAAAGAACACATAAAATAAGAATCATTCAATTTGGTGTAGTCGTTTGGATGTTATGCGATTGCTGACTTAGCCGGGTCAACGGCTTAACGTGTCTTCCGAAGCAGGGATAAAACATTTTTGGTCACCCATCTTATGTCTGGCCCTGCGAAAGTTACTTATCTCGATAATAATTGCACTATTCAGCTCAAATATTATACAATATTACATCTTAAAGAATTTCGTTCGGTATTTCTATTGTATCGTATTATCCGAGGATCATGGTCATCGGCCCTTTTATGTCCCCATTGCAGGGGCTCCGGCCCAACCTATGGATAGACCACGAGCTTCCACGCTGGCCCAATGCGAATTGGACAGGTGGTTATTAACGACTTCCAATGCAACCAGTACCTATGGCTGAATGTGCTTTCCGAAGCACCGGGTAACTTGAGATAATAATTTTTGGTCACCCATCCCGTGACCGACCCCTGAGAAAGTTGCTAAACAACAAATAAACGCGGGCCACGGTGCATATCCACTACACTACCAAGCTACACACCTGAGAATCGTCCTGTGAGAATATTGCATCGAAGGCGAACATCTTCGGCGCGGCCACCCCCACCCTTCTGTCTTCAGGTGCGCTGGCAGCGGCAGGCGCGTTCTCGCAGAGGCTCACTTGTTTCTTGCGCTTGTCCAGTGAGAACGTCTGAGAGCCACTGGTGAACGGGCCCTCGCCTGGCGCGCCAACCCTGAGCATAACTTTAACCTGTAACAAAAGATACAAGTATTTTTATCCACAATTTCATTTCAAAATCTATCAAGAAACAAGATGTTCCCGCGACTTTGCCCGCATAAATAATAGTTATATAACCCACGTAGTTATGACGTTGCTTCTCGCAGATGAATGAATCTTTGAAATCGGTCCAATAGTTTCGGAGTCTCTTTAATGCAAAGAAATAAAGAGTCAATAAAATCTATTAAAATATGAGTATAGATTAAAAATGTAGTTCATATAATTTTTTTTTAATAAATGGAAAATGCTTAAGAAATCCACTTGGCATCCTGAGAAAAGAACAAGTGGATTTTTTTAGTATTAAAATGCATAAATTATTTTTCATTATTTCAGTTTCTAAAGAAATATCCCAGTGGTGTAACTTAGGAATGTTGTGTAATACCTAAAACATTGTAAATTATCACAATTATTCAATGTCATATGTAAGTTAATTTATTGAAACATCATAAGTAATATAAACATCATCATTACCCCCAATTATTAAGTAGCAACAATGGGACTTAGGAATAAAATAAATAGCTTTTACGTAAAAATTTGGCTCCTAGCGGAGATTCCTCTGCCAAATGACAGTTGTCAAATAAAGAATGACATTAAGTAAACCATTTAGTAGTAGTACAACTCAAAGGGGTATTAATATATTGTTGGGATGTTCGCGTTTGTGTGGTGCGTGGATTTACTTCAAAGCTGCCGTTGGTCACGGTTCGTTAAGCACAGATTTAGTGTGTGTTTGGGGCCGATCTCTGTGTTGTTACGTAGGAAATTTCACAGCAGGGAGCGTTTGTAAATTGAACATTCTTAGTGTTATGACGGCGAGATTATCTGTGGATTTCCTCGAGGGGCGATAGAGAATATTTTGTTTGTTTTTTATAAAGATGCTATTGCATATAATATAAGCCTAAAGATTGTAAACAAATTAATCTCGGAAACTGTGAGTTGGATTAAAAACAAATTGTTTGATAGTCTTCTAAATCTGACGGAAGATCAGTGAAGTCTCGTGGAACATCGGTTTTTATAATACGCGACATATATTCCATCAGATATTGAATTTATATCATCGCAATTTACTGTTCAGTCACCATGCTGCTGTCATTTTTATGGAAGTCGCTTAATAGTCACATGTCCACGTGGCATACAAAGATGTTCAAGCTCGGTAACAGAAGGTCACGTTCTTGTTGCACATTTAACATCTTATTTTAAAACAAGTTTTAAATTTCATTATTCGACCTAAATAAGCCAACACGCCACAATAGACGTTTGCTCTTTCCAATCAATCAACCATTTATTTGGCTGAAATATGGTGTACAGAAGTTACATTAAAATGAAAATAATGAAAATATATTTTATTATATGACAGTGTGAAAAATTTTGGTTAAGCACATCATTGATTCAGGAGATTTCTTTATAAGAGATTTATTAATTTCAATGATGGCTAACGTTTTTCAATTTGCCACTAGAGGCTCTATGGTGAATGCAGCTTCAGGTGAATGACGCGCGTTTCTTTTCAAATAAACGAATTTCGGGTAGATTTTGTGGTACCTAAGATTCATTGCAGAAATTATGAATTATGGGTCAATAAATATCAATGCTTTAAAAACGCATCTAAGAAAAAGAAATGCAAAATTGAAAGAACAGCAAAATCAGAGGCTATGTGTTATGTTCATGTTCAATGTTTTTAATAAAATTGTTTGTTTATGTTATATTCAATTAGACAGGACCTTTCGCGACTAATATACGCGTAGTAATATTATTCTTTATGATTTTTTATAATATAATGATTGATATTACTTATACCGAACACACATTACATTAGTTAACATGTTGACACGTGCACATCCATCCACGATTAGATGTTCCGCAGCTTAACGAACGCCTCGGGAATTGTGATTCGCGTAATTAGTTCCAAATTGATTACATCTTCCAAGACGTCGATGCTGATACCTATGACAATAAGTTTATATGGTTTGTGTTGGGAATCTATAATTACTTTCTTTTACAGATTTTTCGCTTCTTTTATTGTTGTTGAAAATTGATTGATTCGATCTAGATTATCATCTTATAAGTATGCAGTGCAAAATATTTAAAATCTTGATTATATAAGAATAGGAAATTTACTAAGCTCATGATATCATGGATTTATAAGCGCAAAAACCATACGAGTGACAGTGTCAAAAATTGTCTCAACTCCAAACTATATGAGTTACTTATTTATTACACACGATAAAGAGCTTGACGTGCTTTCCGAAGAGGTCAGAAACTTTTGGTGTTCCATCCTATTCATAACCTTTGAGAAAGTTGCTTAACCTCCACAATTGCAGACTTAACTAGTAAACCATTACACCATACAGTTCATCTTATCAGACATTCTCTTTATTTTTTTATATTAGGAGATGTAAGAAATGTGCGGGATACATAACACTTCCCATTATTATTAAAATCCTGAGCTTTCTAAGCTCCAAACTCGCATTTCAAGGTGTCGCAATCTTTGAGGTCCCGGGTTTTATTTTTTCTATATTGTCTCGGATCTGAGTGTTGTGTTACCTTCGTTGTCTCAGATGCTCCGTAAAACGGGAGTAAATGCTCATCTTGGAATCTGAGCAATGTATGTGATGTTGTTTAATACTTATATATTTTAGACTTTTTAATCTATCTATCTAATAGCTTGTTAGAAGCTATTACATTACATTACGGTACAGCACAATGCTTGGAGCAAAAACATTGTCAATCGGTTCTTAAACTGCATTTCTAGTGAACATAAAGCGTATTGAAATCACCGCCATTTCGCACACGTAAGCCTGAATGGAGTCGAGAACAATCGCAATTAGGCCTGGCACTATCAGAGTTGGAACCGATATAACGTGTCTGTGGCATCGATCTAGATGTCTTGATTCACTGAGGAGAAGGCAAAATAGGTATTCTGCATGACAAGACATGCAAGAGTTCAGGTGAACTGTGTGGATTAGGTACACAAGATATCTATTCCTACAAAACATTAAGTAATGATACTAATTGAATCATTTGTAATTCTCATAATGTCCACAATAAATTCAAAATTAATAAAAATTTTCTGCTTACTGTATATCTTTTTGACCTAGACTAGACTACTAGAAATAAATGGCTTTTTAATGGTAGATTTCAAGACAAGATATACAATAGGAAAGTTTTATGTATAATTAATTATGTAAATTGTATAAATTAGGACGATGATTGTTGGTGGTGATGGGAAATATTATATCGATTGGAACTTTTCAATATCAATATCATCAGTCCCCACTATATTAGTATTGATATCCCCACCGCTGGGATGTTCAATATGCCTTACCTTGCCTATGGACGGAATCGAATCGAAGAGGGGAAGGGGTCATGACCCACTACGTGTGCAGTGCAGGATTGGATAAAAAAACAGTATTAGACACTAATAATAAACTAATTTAATAAAATAAAATAAACAATTATGTTAAACAATAACACGCAGACATTCAGTTCCATTAAAAACTGGATATTTGGAGTTATTAAAGAGAAGGTAATAAATACAATACAATACAAAACAAAGTACGGCGTACGGCCTTCGTCTGTTTGAACGCGAGAAACAAAAAAACTAACTCTCAGATTTTCATAAGATTTTAATCAATAGATGGAGAGATTTATTATAAACATTTTGGTATAAAATTCATACAGGTTTTATGTAAATTAGCTTATAAATTATTGAAAATCATTATTGAAGACCTAGAAAAGAATATGTTGTTGACTTACAGCCTGTATTATTTTTCTCTTTGCTTACAGCTAAGCGCATGTTTTTGGAACTTTGCTAAACTGGGGCGTGTCGCTGGTTCCTAATAATAACAAACAAATATACAGATACTGGGTGTTAATTATTAATTTGCAGCGTAATCAATGTAAGTACATTATGCGTGACGGCAGCTATCTGCGGACTAATGTGGAGTGTACGTGTTGTGTGTAGCAATGCACATTCAGAAATTACATTATACAATTATCTGATTAAACGTCTAAGTAATATGTGAAACGTTACGTGTTGCGAATAATCAATGAAGTTTGTTTGGTAATTATCAAACATACTGAAAAACAACCATATTTTAGGTTGTTGATATATTTTATATAAAAGGTGACTTATAACCGAAATGTAGTAGAAGTTATTTATAAAATAATAATGAGTATTTACAATGTATTCTATAAATTATCCATAAGTGTAGTAATTGTCTATTTATTCTCGTTCCTTCTGAGATTACGTTTATATTTAGTTTCACATATGAGGAGAATATATGATGCTAAATTATAACAAAATTGCTTTGCAAAAATCCGTAAAGAAATATCAGTTACATTTCTGTAGACTCAGTTACTTTAGAACAAATTGATTTATACTTAAGTAAAAAAAAATGAGCCTCATAAAAACTTTTACCAACAATTTGACGTTTATGTTAGCACTGACCGACTGCAAGCAGGCATTCTGTGAAAAACGCTTTTAAAATTCAATTAGAGGATGGATTTGGATTCAATGGCGCGTTTGATTTGGGTGGATCCTGGATGATGGCTAAGCTTGCGGTTGACTGTTGACTTGCTGATAATAATGTCAACTGCTAATGGTTTCACAATGACAGGACGTTAGATATTATTATTATTACGTAAAAATCAATTTTGCACTACGCTTTTTAGTCGTGTTGTTTAAGATTTAAATCATTTTTTAACGAAAGAAGGAACTCCATTTTGATTTTATATGGCATATGGGAGATTTGTGATTTAATTCGTACTCAATTATTTTGTTTTGTTGTTTTTATGGTTTTAATGTATTATTTATAATGTTCGTAAAACACACTTTACAAGACAAGTGTTATTGAAGTCTGAATTGATATACAGTTGATTGAAATAATATGCCGAATGGATCGTAAATACAATTTTATGAATGAAGCTCATGAACCCGAACTCAGGCTGAATTCCTCTTTTACATGGATTTTTCTGTGGC